TCGTAATTACACCAATACTACCGAAATATGTTTACCTTTAGTTAAAGTTAATTGAATTAATTCATATGTTGCAGAACTTCTATCAAGAAAATTTTAATCTAAGTATCAAGGTTTTATTCCTTAATCAAAATTTGTTAAAATTTATTGAGTTAATTAATATTATGCAAATTTTACTTTGCAAAAATATAAATTAAAAAATTTTGTTTGCTCATTAATAATTAGTCAAACTAAAAAGTCTGACTTACAAAAATAGAATCCCACTCATTTGCAAAGGACTTCCCCAACAATGTTGAATTTTTATATAAACTTGTACTTAAAATTAATTGAATAAATTAATATTATTTATTTTCACTTGGCAAAAAATTAATTTAAATTTTTGACGAAATTCTTGTTTTTCCAATTCTTGTTCTTGTGTTTCCAAAATTAGCAAAATTTTTGCCTGCTAGCTAAACAACAAAATTTTGGCGCCTTTATAACAATAAGATTCTAAAATTTTTTTAAAGGGCTATTCTTTGCTAGAGAAAATAGTGCAGGGCTATCTGAACTAATTTTAGGTATATCGGAAAATTAAGTAATTTCGGAGGATTAAGTGATTTCGGAAGCCCTGATATCTCCTAATATCCACTTAATCACCAAATATCGGTCAATTTGTTGGATGAAGTTTTCGTACATTTAAATGCGAGCTCTCCCTCTCAGTTTGTACGATTTAACGAGAATTAATTTAAAGTATTAATCCTTAATTAGTCAAGCATTGAAAGCTTGACTTGCAAAAATATACATCATCCTATTGTACAAAATTATACACTTAAAGTTTTGTAATTATTTTTACTTAAATCTAATTGGATTAATTAATATTATGTAGGTTACTTAACAAAAAAATAAAAAATAACAAGATATTTCAGACTTCCAACTCCCTATTAACTGTATAATTTGAAAAATAAAATTAAACAAATTAATTGATATTATGCAAATTTTAGCTTAAAAAATTAAAAATTTCAGCCTCCGACTCAATTAGTTATATACGATATAACGGAAGTGAGATTGAATTAAGGTACCAAACAGGAATTAGTCGAGAATAAAACTCGACTTGCAAAAATAAACTGGTCGGGTATTGTTACTGCACAAATCGGCTGTTATTAATCTATTTTTATATAAAATTTATTAAATTAAGTAATATTGTGCAAAGCTAAGTTATGAAAAATACGATATTATAAGGAGATTGGCTCCAACAGAAGCAAATGTCTATTAGACGCCCAGTTAATGAGGAGTATTGAAAAATTAAGGCCGTTGCCTAATAGAAGCCTATCTTATTTTTGGCTACATATTTTCTATTACTTTTGTTATCGTCTTTAAAAAATTTTCGATATCGAGATAGTCAAAATTGGAAAATCCTTCTAGCATATACAGTTTTTTTTGATTACAATTACGTTCTATAAAGTTCAAAATTAATTTGATTTACTAAAAATAGAAACTTTTTTATAAAAATACTAGTTTTCGAATTAAATCAAGAGTTAATTAAATAAATTGGTAGACAAAAACTTTAAAAAATAGATATTTTTCCAAATCCAAATAAGATAAAAAAGAGAATATTGGAGTATCTTCAACACAACTTGGAAAATGATAAACTTTTCTTAAGTCAGTCTGGTTCTGTAGAAAATTAATTTTGCATAATATTAATTAATTCAATTATTTTTTATTTAATTATAAGTTTTTTTGAAAGTGGTACAAGTTGTAGATTTCAAGCGACATGGAATATTTTTGTATGTCAAGCTTTATGCTTAGACAAAAAATGAGTTTTGCTCTTTTGATACTATACCTTGTCATAAAGAAGTACGGTTACGAGATAAGACTGAGATGAAATCTCGAAAATATTTCGGTAATCGAGATCGGTATTTTTCGAGATCTCGATTCTTGTAAGACCCTCCAAGTCCGGTCTCTAGTACGATTATAACGATGATTGATATCTACACGATCAAAAACATGTCTTGTATTAGCAGTTCATAGTTTATTTTCATATAATCTCATATTTTATTGTCTTGATACAATAATTATATTATCAAAAACACGCTAATCATGATTTTTGACCCGCAATTTTCAGATTCTCCAAATAAAATGCCTAATTTTTACATCATTTTGTAGTAAATTTACTCCCTTATGAACAATGCCAAAAAAATTCAAAAGTTTCCTTTTGATAGTTAGTCATACTTATAGACTCAACATACCCAAATGCACTTTTCTCCCATTCAAGCGTGAACTCTAATTTTTATTTGATTTACTACAAAATTTGTAGTAACAAATTAGGTGTTTACTACAAGGTAGAAATAATTTAAATGTTTTTCTCCTCAAATAAGTCAAAACAAGTCAAAATTAGAGTTAATTTTGCTCAATATAAATTTTTCCAATTTTCACAAAAATAAATTTCTTTCCTTCATTTATTTAAAATTAAATTTCTTTCCTTCCCAATAAACCTTAAAAAATCAAAAATGACTTCCACCCTCTTATACGGACTCTATTTAACTATTTTTCTTCATATTATACTCCAAGACTCTAATATACCTCCAATTGTTGATGCTCAAGTTTTTAGAGGATTTGTGGATGGAGCGACAAGTGGATCCATTCTAAACAGTTTGTGGGGTCGCAAAAAGCGAATGGCAAAAAATAAGAATTTTGAAGTAGAAAATGAACGAAAGGCTACTGTAATTAGAAAGAAACGTCAATTTTTTGATAGAATGACGAGTGGAACAATTCTTGATAATATGTGGGGATAAATGATTTTTTAAATATTTTTTGATGATAAAATGTGTATATCACCGTGGATTTTTTATGTTATAAACTTTTTTTCTGAAATTTTAATGTTGTCCTTTAAATAGGTGTTTTATAAGAAAATAAAAAAATTTACATAATATAATTTATTTCAAATAATTTTGTATACACGTAGTAGCTAATATAATCTGGCGTCTTATTGTTGGATTAAATTCTGTATTTTTGAAAGTCTAGTATTCTGCTTGACTGTATTTTTAAGCCGAATGCATTTTCATTTGTTAAGAAATGATGATTTAAGCTGGTGATAAAATCAAAAAAGTTCTCGCAGGAGCATTCGGAAATGTACTCTCAAAAATCAAGAAACCAAAATTCATGCGCCGTCGGCAAACTTTTATGGAATGTTTGAAGGCCAAACCCATAAATCCTCCACTTTTTAAATACAAGTATGGTACAAAATTTCGATCTATAGTTTTAACCAAAATTAGAAATTTAATTTCTAATTAAATTTCTACAACTTGTTTTGTATTTCTTGATCAAATCTAAATAACAAATCAAAGAAGTTAAATAAAACAACTTAGTTTAATAGATACAGACATAAACAAATAATCAGTCAAGCAATAAAATGCTGACTTACAAAAATAAAAGTTTAAGCTATCCTAAATTCAACAATACTAACAATTTATGTTTACCTTTACCTCAGGTTGATCGCTTTAATTCATATGTTGCAGAACTGCTATCGAAAAAGTTCTAACCTTAAGTATTCAAGGTTTAGTCCTTATTAAAATTTAGTTAAAATTAATTGAGTTAATTAATATTATGCAAATTCGGTACTTTATTAATATCCCACGCAAATCTTTATTTGAGTCTCAGATTAATTTTTCTTTTTTACTGTCACTCATTCTTTCCCTCACAAATTTTAAGTAAATGGCCCGACGCCCAAATTCCCCGCGCCTAAAAATCTAGAGCCCAATTTTCCGTTTTTCTCACTTAGAGCCCAAAATTCCGCTGGAGCCCAATTTTCCGAAAAGTTGGAGCCCAAATTTCCGAAAAATCTTGGAGCCCAATTTTCCAGAGCCCATTTTTCCGGCACCCGTTTCGTCAGAGGACATTTTCGTCAGAATTAGTTTCGCCAGAGGTTTCTCTCGTCAGAGACCAGTCTCGTCAGAGGGCAGTTTCGTCAGAGATCATTTTCGTCAGAGGCCCCTTTCGTCAGTAAGGCTCCCTATTAAAAATATAATTAAACGGCGGTATTATGTATGATTTATATTAGCTTATTTGTTTCTGGATCGCTTCGGAGTAATGAGGTGTCATTTGAAGAAGCTCTAAAATCCGAGTCGTATTAGTTGTGTAAGAAGTCGATTTGACATTCCGGGACCAATTTAAAAGCTCCTGAATCCTGAAAAATAATAGGGAAGTAGTATATGTTACACTTTTAAAACAAAAACAAATTTTTGTTTTAAAAGCGCACAAAAATTCTTTACAATTATTTTTCAATAGGTTTAGGGGGTTTTAAAAATTAAATCAACGTTGCTTAACTTGCCAGATCGGACGGGTGGGCACATTTACAAATCAACACGGACGTAATAAGAGTAGGGCTTAATTTAATTTTAATGAAGTTAAACATAATTTTAAGATAATTCAATGACCCCAAATTTTACTTAATTTTCTGAAAAAGGCAATTAAATAAATATATGGTAAAAAATATTTTTACGGAAAAACTAATATAAAAACCGGTATAAATAAGATAAAAAAAGTTAAAAATAAAAAACGTTTAATATTTGTTAACGTTTTACAAGGTATTAGAAAATAGGTATTAATCTGCGTCCTAAGTATAATGTTATTTTCGTTACTCCGATTACAAGCGATTTGGTAGCTACAGCAATATCATAGCAAGTTTCTTTAACAAATAACCATGCGGTATCGAAAATATTTGGTCTATAATACACTACTGAAAAAGTAGGTTTGTATATTTTTTTCCAAGCCTTTTCGTTCTCATCGTACTCAAACCAAACATGACCACTCGGTTTTAAAGTTATATTTGTAAAATTTGAATGAGAAGTTAAGTCAGGGCGTAAAGTATGCGCAATTGTCTTTGGGTTGAGAGTTCTTCGAAATAAAGATATTTTATTCTTTTCATTCCTTATTATTTTATCTTCACAGTTAACAAGTCCTAATAGTGCAACAAAAATTAATATAAAAAGCATTTTTAATATAATGCAAAAAATGTGAATGATCATTTATATAGTGTTTCCTAAATTTCTATTCATTTTTTGTTCTTCAGCTTCAACAAAGTCCAAACATTCCAGAGGATAGAAATATTGATGCTGTCGTCCTCCAACAACGCAAACAAGAGGCAGCTGAGGATAAACAAGGTCTATGTGATGTCGAACATAGAAATATTGCCTGATTGTCACACGTAAATATCCTCGTAATGCAAAAATACGATCAGCGCCCAACTTTGTCAATTTACTTGGATATACTTCGAACTGAATATGTCTTAAATGATTTGTAACCAATGCTTTCTTTCCAGGCTTCATATTGTTGTCTGAAAATTCTTTTTGACCAATTCCACGGATGGCAACATCCTCATTTGTCATACTAGTAAGTGATTGAAGGAATTGAATATTTTCGTTGTATTTTTTACGCATTTCTCTGTGAAGGGACTCTGGTGCGCATCCTCCATTAAATTTACAAAGTAAGTGAATAAGTGAAACCGTTTTGACGGGAGGAGATGTAGAAGATATTTTTGCAGACTTGCTCAATTCTGACATGTTGTTGCTAGTACGAATGTTCATATCTCCCTTTTTGCTTTAGCGTTTAATTTGTTGACTTGGCTTATATACCAAGAGGCCCTTTCGCAAACCTAATTCCAGGGAGTTCTTCGTTTCCATTTCTTCTCAAATTTACATGTGCTTTAAACACTACAGCCAAAACAAAAATTAGTAACAAATCGAGGACATATGCGATTAATAGAAACATATCTTTGTTTGGATTTCCTGAAGGGCCGATTGAAAGCGCATGAGCTTCATCAATAATAAAACAGGCATTCACATTTGGAGGGTATGGGCCGTGAACGGGATAAAGTATATTACTATCGTTTTGCTTAAAAGCCAAGGTAAGACTGAGTAAGGAAATTAGATATAGAGTAAATATCATTTTTGCTATATTATTACTAATAGTAGTATTCTTATATACTAGGTAGTATTGATAATCTTTGGACGAATCTCTTTATAACTGCATCACGACTTTCTGAAGGTATTGAATGCATTTTCTTAAGGGTGGAAGCGAAACTACCTCCTTGTTTTGAGCGGTTTACAAGGAAACAAATGCAATAATGTCCACATGTATCTGATAACGGAGATTGAATAGAATAACGGCTTTGTTTAACTATTGTAAAGCGATTTAGCATAGATTGACGCATATCACAGTTAGGGGAGTCTCCGAGTGAGTCAAAATATTCCAATGTATTTGGTTTATCTGAATAACAGGCAATCCAGTGTTCACCAACTGTACCTTTACGCATCGTATTTGCTACAAAACAAAAAGGCTTTTGAGTTCCAATATTAGGAATATTATTAGAAGAAAACACGCCAATAAATTTATTATTTAAAGGCTTGTACCGTTGTAAAATAGTTTCAATTTGAAGAGAATTCATCTTAAACAGATCCATCCGTACTTAACACGCGATCTGCATTTATGGACATGATTGCATCAAACTCTCCCATTATTATCATTTCGTAACCCGTGTCTTTGACGGGTTGATTGAAAAGACAACGTACGGTTGTTGTACCTTGTCTTATTAATTCTAGCCCATTTGTATCTTCAAGGGTTGAAGTCATTGGTATAACAAAGAAGCAGGAGGATTTTGAAAATTCTTTCATACTGATATCGAGAGTTCTTTGATCAGAATTTGGCCAATTATCAAGGTCCATACCAACATAAGTGTCAACATATGCGCGAACGAAATTACCCTTAGCAAAATCAAGGTCATATGGCACAGCAGGAAATTGAAATCCCCCAAATTCTGCAGAAACTGATCGCAAATTAGCGTGTTCGAAAGTAAATGGGGATAATGCAGTATTTCCAGTATATGCTGGAGAACCTACAAAACATATTATTAAACGGCGAGGACATGTACTTGTGAATGCGGGATGTGTAATTTCTTGTCGACCTTTTCCAAGAAATACACTCCGAATTTCTATTTTTCTATAAGCGTACTTCGCTGGAGACTGCTCCAAATGTCTAGAAATAGCATTATTTAGAGACATACTTAAATCGACTTGTTTAACATAAATTCTCATATCATGAAGACGCAGACGATAAGAGTTTGTATTACTTATTAGTTCCCCTCCTGTAGCTATGCGATACTTGGGGGTATGAATAAGAAATTCATCAGTATTTCTGTAAAGGGTCCAAATCACATCACTATTCGGAATTAGAAGCTGATTCTGACGCGCCATATCATAATCTAAGTGGGAAAATAATCTACATGTTTGGCCATTAGCAAAACGAGAAGCCCGTGACTTAAAGCCACTACCTTCAAATGTATCTTTATCGACTGCATCCTTATAATAAAGTGAAGCTTCATATAGTCCTTTGCTCACCTCTCGGCTTGCTCCAAGTTCGTGTAGAAGTATACATCTATATGCATAGTGAATACCTGAATCATAACATTGAACACCATTAATTGATAGAGTTAGACGACGAATCCATGTAAGCCCTAAATATTGAGCAACTCCTGTAAATTTATCACCTTTGAGCTCAGCGGCTTCTCCGTCTGAAATAGGAACCCATTCATCACTATTTGCATGTTTTCTTTCTATTGATAAAACCAGACTAAAATAAGTTTTGCTCAAATCAAGATAAAGTGAGTCCCCAAAGTACCTAAAAATAAAAGGACCTGCGGATTGATTTAAGGCATTAAGAGGAAGTAATTCTTTAAATGCCGAACGAATAATACCCACATTAGTAGAGGGAATAGAAAAGAAGGATAAACGGTTGTCTACACCTTCTGAACTATCTTTGTCAATTTTCTTTAATGTTGTCATTTTTTACTTAAAGTAAATTAGTTATTATGCTATACTTATATACTCAGAAATTTTCTAAACTAAGTTGATCCCTATGGCGTCGGCCTTTTTTCCCTAAATTTTTGCTAATAATAGTTTGTTTACGTTTTCTTTTGCCTTTTCCGCATTGTTGAAGCTTTTTTCCTACTTTTTGAAGCCCTTCGCTTCCATGTTGCTTCATTGCCTCGCTAACGGATCGGCCTTGTGAGACATCTTCAAGGATATTTTTTCCAACATTAACTGCCTCTTGTCCTGCGCTTGTGGCTAAATTTTTGACGATTGGCATTAGAAACCTACCAACAGATCCTAATAAACCAAATCCTCTTTGATAATTCGTTCCTTGAAAATAACGACTTCCTTCTATTAATCTTGAACCTCCATTTTGGGAGGCTAAGAAAGGTTCCCAGTCTATTGTATCTAAATCTATTGGTACATGTGTCATTTTTAAAATATAGAGCGTTGAAAATGTAGTGTTAGTATACAGGTTCCCCAATGGAATTTTACGAGTTTTCCAGTTAAGGTGCGAATTTCAATAGTAATGTCTGGATGACGTTTACCTAGTAATCGGTGATGATGTTCGGTCATATATACTTCGGAAATACTATCACCAGGCTTACCATTTACATTCACAACCCGTAATAGAGGAGCGGTTACGTTTCCAATTATACTATTTTCAACAAGTCTTGGCGCATAAACCAAAAATTGCCGCACACCTCCAGATATATCAGGCATATATTTCGCCACCTGTCCACTATGAACTTTCTCAGAATCAAAACCAAGAGTATATGCTAATTGACGACTTAATTGAATATATTGTACGTTTCCCTGTAAGAAGACGTGGAACCTCTTATGCAATTTATCAAAGTGTACTGAAACCCATTGATATTTTGGATCGGCTAGTTGTATATTGGAGAAATTAAGAAGCATTTTTAGATATTCAGGAGGATAGGCATATTTAGCAAAATGCATTTTCTTTACATTAGGATCCGAATCATCAACTCGTATTTTTAACTTTTCTTTGGGAGGTTCTTCTTTCTCCATCTTTTCTTGACTTGGAAGCTCTTTTTGTTTCGTTTTGTCTCCTCCAGCATGTCCAAAAAAGCTTTTCCAATAGGAAGGCCTTTCAGGATGTTCTCCTATTAATATTTCAGGGCGTGGAAGAGAAGGCCGCTCCTCAGTATGAACTTTATTATCATCTTCAGTCTGCACAATATCTTCAAGTAAATTTTCCGTTGAAGGTGAAATACTTACAGGATCTTCTTCTGCTAATGGAGGTGTCCATTGCTCTTCGTCCTCGTCGGTTATCGTTTGTGATTCCTGCGGAGGCTCTTCTCTTGTATCATCTTCTTCAGTATCAACTTCGATAATCGTTGGTTCTTCGTTCGCCTCAATATTTTCTTCAATATTTTCTTCTTTTGGTAATGGAGGTGTCCAGTGCTCATCATCCTCATCAGTTATTGTCTGTGATTCCTGCGGAGACTCTGCTCTTGTATCATTTACTTCAGTATCCTCTTCGATAATCGTTGGTTCTTCGTTCGACTCAATATTTTCTTCTTCTGGTAATGGAGGTGTCCATTGCTCTTCGTCATCATCGGTTAATGCATGTGATTCTTGCAAAATATCTTCTTGCGTTTCTTCTTTCTCGGTTTCTTCTTCGAGTTCTCCATGTACTTCGATATTTTCTTCTTCTGGTAAGGGAGGTGTCCACTCTTCTTCGTCCTCATAGTTTATTGACGGGCCTTCATTATCATCATGCTCCTCAATATTTTCCTCGATATTTTCTTCTGGTAATGTTTCATTTTCATCTTCAATAGTTGACAAAGTTTCTTCGATTGTCGTGTCCTGTTTCGCAAGTTCTGCGTCAACTTTACCAATAATTTCTTCTGATAAACGTTTTTGCCCCGCAACAGCTTCTTCAACCTGGCTGGCTGCTTCCTTTACCTTACGTTCTGCGGCCTTAGCACGATCCGCAGCTTTTCTTGCTTCTGTAACATCGCCCCGGGATTCTGCAGCTTTAGTTTCTAGTTGTGCTTCCGAAGCTCTTTTTCCATACTCTAAAGATTCTTGTGTCCATTTATCTATAGAAATTTTACGATTAGTTAATAATATTAATTGAGATTTAACCCATTCTAGAATATTTTCAGGTGTTTTTCTTAAATGTACAATTTCCCCTGTTTCTTTTAATGTAATCACACTATCTTTTAACGCATACTTAAAGCGTGCATTCTGCCAATATTTTTCACCAAGTTCCATATTTATTTGGGCTTGCTCTGCCAACTCGACACTATTTCTCCATGCTCTTGTCGCTGCACGAACGGCCATTTCCATTAAAATTTTTTGATCATCAGTTAATGATGGCTTTTCATCAGGCTCCTCAACATATGAAAGGGGAGTTATTTTCCCATCTAAAGGAGTTTTGTCATTAGACTCAAGGTGTTTTTCTTCAGGTGTTGTCACTGGAGTCTCAGGAGTAGGCAACGCTTCGATTATTGTACTTGTCGCAGGAAGGGGCGGAGCTTCAATTATAGGACTTGTCACGGGAGTGGGCGGAGCGTCGATTATTGGACTTGTCACGGGAGTCTCTGGAGTAGGAGTTGCCTCGACTGGAGTCTCAGGAGTGAGCGGAGCTTCAATTATAGGACTGGTCACTTCAGTAGCAGGAGTGATTGGAGCCTTTTGAATTGTAGGCGAAGGCTCTTCAGTTTCTTCGATTTCATTAGAATTTTCTTGATCATTTTCAACAATACTTTCTTCTTCAGAGTCAATCGTTTCATGTTGTTGAATAGGTTCAGGCTCTGAGGGCATAAAACTTTTAATTGCATTCATTATCAGATCTTTCTGATCAGCTTGTGGCTCTAATCTGACAGTCTCAACAGAACTTCCCGAAAACGATGATACATTTGGAAGTTTTGCGCCCTTAATTTCCGTATTTAAATATTTTATAAATTTATAAGCATCGTCCTTTGGTATATCAAAATAACCTTCCTTTTCCAATTGTTGAGTGATAGACTCTTGCGAGAAATTAACATCCGATTTTTCAATAATAGCAGCACGCAATTCTGTTTGTGGAGTTGATTCAAGGGCTAATTCTTGACTATTGACAGGTGCAACTTTCTTTTCAGTTTGACCAACACTTTGTGGATTCAAAAATTCTTTAATAGCCTGTTTGATTCGATCCCTATGAGCGGTATACGGACGAAACCGAACTCTTTCTATACCATCTACTGCAAGAGGGGCAGGGCTTATAGGAGGCAACCGAATTCCTTCTTTGCCTAAGTATTTCATAAAATTAAAAGAGGTTTGCTTTTGCATATCGAAATAGCCATGTTTAACCAATTGCTCTGTAGGTTCTAATTGAATAAAAGTTTTCTGAATAAATTTATCAATAACTTTTAAGTAAAGAGATTTTTGATTTGCAGGAGGCAAAAGACGAATATTTTTATCGCCTTCTCCTGGACTCAAATTTGTAAGTTTTGGACTAATTGCTTCATCCTCTTCTGATAATAGCTTGATAAATTTATTTAGTTCATCCGCGTCCAAATCGAAATAACCATTTTTATCATACTGTTCTTTTATAGATTCGACAGCTCGACGTTTACGATATTCCCCATAAATTCTTTTTTTATTCTCTTCAAGCCTCTGTTCCTCACGCTCGCGATCCAATTCCTTTTTCCATACATCAAGCAAGACAGCATTTATAGACTCTTCTAATGCTTCTTCTGAGGCAAAGGACAAATCTGGTATCTCGATACGAATAGGTAAGAGTTCATTTCCATATCTTCGAAAAACTGTTATTGATTCTTGTTCATCAGAATCACCAAGTAATGAAAAAGAAAACGGATATATAATATTAGATAGTGCAACTGTCCAACTTGAATCCAATTCAAGCGTGTCAGGCATTCGAACAGTAAATTTAGAAGTGGTATTTCCTTCCACCCCTCCAGTATTTGAGGGCAATATCACATAAAATGAATCCATATTTATCTTCTAACAATATCGCTATCGTTAACCCAACTATTAAAATTATCGTTATATCCTATCCAGCGAACAAAATGTTGTTTAATCCCTTTAAGCGTACGTGTTTTTAAAATTTCAGCAATACGGTGAGTTGTATCTTCTTGTGTGGGTACCAATTCTTCTCTATAAAATATCCCTTCAATTAAATTTCCTTCAAAATCTTTTAACTTATATGTGACGGGATATCTATTGTCGTTTTTAATATGTACGCGAAACAATTCGTCAGTGTAGTTGGGTAAATATCCCTTTTCAAATTTCCCTTTTTCTTTTGTGATTCGAACAATTTGTCCTGGCTCGAGAATTGAGCTTGTTTTAGTATTTTGTATATTTTTAGGATCCTTATATAGTCTGATAAAAAGTTCCGCCGCATTCTTAAACGTAACAGAATTTGGAGTTACACTTGTGGTTCGATTAATACTTGCATTTATTCCTGAAACAATTTTTTGAATAATATCCTTCCAACGTAATGTATTTTGTTCGCTAAAGTATCTGTACAATCGCTCTTTGATAGTACGGTTTGCCCTCTCTGCCATTGAAGCATGCACATCTGGACTATAAACTACTCGCTTATCTATATCCTTCTTTTTAAAATATTGTTTCATACGTTTCGCCTCAAATTCTAACCCTCGATCCGTATATAGTTTATGAGGAAGTATCCCTTTTGAAAGTTTAAAAATATTTTCGAATGCTTCAATCATATCCTCAGAACTCTTAGATTTGGCTGGCACTGCGAAAATTTTTCTACTTAGTACATCAATACATACCAAAAGATATTTGTACCCATCATTATATTTAGCTAACTGATCAAAGATTGCCAAATCCGCTTGCCAATCTGTGTGCAGGCCGCTTGGTCTAGTGGCCATTCTAGGAAACTTTTTTCTTAGAGGCCTATGCATTGTATAGACCCTCTGCCTATGAAGAAAATCATAAACATATTGAAATTTTATTTTCGGGTATTTCCGACGCGCTTCTTCATAGACGCGATTTATCCCGGCATAAGAGGCGGGAGAATTAAGTGAATAATAAATTTTTTCTAAATGTGTATCTAAAGCTTTTCCCATATTTTTGGCATAAACTTGTTTTTTCTTCTTACTAATCCAGGGGAATTTATAGGCAAGACTTTAACTAGAACTCTTTTTCTTCTTTTCCCAGTACCTGTTTGATTATCCGTTGAACTTTCCTCTGAAGTACTTTCTCCACGCGTCTCTCTAATCATCTCTCTTACTAAAGGATCTTTAGAAAGACGATTAAAAAGAAAACTGAAACCTTTTGGGGGCGATGATGTCTCACCCTTTACATATTCGAGAACATCTGTAAAATTGCTGTTCTTTACAACTGTTCCTGGAATGTTTGATTCAAAACTACCGTTCTTGCGTATTCTAAACTTTTCAGCATTTTCTTTTACATAATTTTCCAATTCATTAGAATAGCGCTTTGCAATAATTCCTTTAAAGGGTGTGGAAAATTTATTTCTTAATATTTTGGTTTTAGAAGTTGATGCCTCTAAAGTAGTATTGGTTTCTATGTTTGATCGTGGTTCTTCATGCTCTTCGTTTATTACTTTAGGTTTATGCGTAGGAGATATTGATTCTTGCAAGTAAGGTGCAACCTCTGATGTTTTAACATCGTCAATAATTACCCTTTGGGGACGATTTTCCAACTCGTGCTTGAGTTGACGACGTTTTTTATATAACCAATTATATTTCTTTGCTTTTACATCTTCAGAAATTTTTGGATCATTCAATGTCAATGTAATTTCTGCATCCGTCTGTGCCTTCTCCCTTTGTAAAAAGTCATCACCTCTAATCATAGACAGAAGCGTATGATATTCGGTTTCAGGCACCATAATCATTTTCTTTGTATGTTTCATTCTTGAGTGAATTTATGAATAATATGTTCCGTTAATGCACCTAGAATTGGCACTAGAATTGCTGCTAGAGCGGCGCTACCTCCTTGTTGGATACGATTTCTTGCACCCTTTTCAGTACGCGTTCGAGCGATTGCTCTATAGAAGTCCGCAAATTGAGCTAATTTTTTACGCTGTCTCGTACTTAGGATGAAATTGTGCTTCAAAATATTAGCACAAATTTCCACAATTGCTAAGATTTGATCTGCAGTTGCTGAAAGAATTAGAGTGTTTTTCTTTTTATCTGAAGTAGTTTTTGCTAAACTTTGAAGAAATTCAAAATTTTCCTTAACGTATGGACTATAGTTATACGTGGGCATTTTTATCTTAAAATTGTTTTGAGTACTTATATATTACAGCGGCAAATATATAGTAGTTTTTTCTCCAGGAAATATTTTTGTAGATAATCGCATATTTTCATCTGTGCTAGGATGCATGTTTATTAATAGATAAGAAAAACGTTCCGATGTTGCATCTCGATAGGCTTCAAGAAAATAATTAAGCATTTTTGGGAAAAGCTGCGAGCCGAGTGTCCGTACTTGCAGAAGGCCTTGAGGGTTTTTTGTTAAAAGAATATAATGTGCATTTGCTCTTGCAGTCTTTATATCTCGGCCGTATAGGGATTGAGTTACAAAAATCACACTTACGCCCCAATTATGTGAACCTCGAGTAAAAAGTAGATTTAAGAAATCAATATTAATATTAAGCATTAAATCGTCTAACACCAAAAGCTGATGTTTTTTAATTAGTTCAGATTCGGGAACTCCATTATAAGTAGTAATTCCCATTTCCTTGAGCTTGAAAACAGTTTCATTCATTTCTCCAAAACAATATAATATTTTTGAAGGAGAAGAATCTATGAGTTGGTTAGCGTGTGCCAGAAATTTTAGAAGCCATTGGGTTTTGCCACTTCCTGTGGCACCCGAAATTATCATAGTAAATGGTGCGCTAAACATTTTATATAGATGTTTTATATAGGTGCCTCTATAGCTGCTTTATATAGGGTCCTCAGCCCGTTGGGCTTTTGCACTACTCAAGTGCACTCAATTCCCTCAAGTGCCCTATTAGGCACAAATATAATGTGCGTCTGCCACATAGATCTCGTCTATCCCCAACTACCTCTGGTATGCGTTTTTGCAGAAGAAATCACCAATATTTCTAATTCTTGAATGCTTAGATTATGTAGACGTTGAAGAACAGAAAAATTAATATCATATAATTTTTATTTAAATAAGATTTAAAATATTTTTTCTTCAAAAATTAAATATATAAAAAATTATTTTCGTTTATTATTTTTGTTTAAAATATTTATTCTTCAACATTTATTATTTTTTATTAATTTATAAATTTTTATTTAAAAATTATTTATTCATTCAAAATTTTGTTAGTTTTTCTTTAGTTTTTACAAATTTTTAATTAATTTTCATTAAAATATTTTTTCTTCAAAAATTAATTATTTTATTTTTTACATTTATTTTTTTTTTCAAAAATTTTTTATTTCTTCCAAAAATTAATTGATTGTATTCAATATAGTTGCTTTTATTCCAAAAATTTATTTTATTTAATCCATTTGCATTACAATTTCACCATTCCTATGAATAAGTCCGTGCTGATTTGTAAATGTGCCCACCCGTCCGATCTGGCAAGTTAAGCAACGTTGATTTAATTTTTAAAACCCCCTAAACCTATTGAAAAATAATTGTAAAGAATTTTTGTGCGCTTTTAAAACAAAAATTTGTTTTTGTTTTAAAAGTGTAACATATACTACTTAGGGAGTAGCTTGTCGAGCTAGAGTGAGCTGACTCTAATGAACTAACATTTTTATGCTTGAATTATTATCCCAAAAATCAGCTTTTCAGAGCTTTTTTGAATGACACCTTTTTGTTCAAATCGATCAAAAAAACAAATAAGTTAGTAAAATTACAATATCGATGTGTAATTAGATTCTTAAATGGGAGCCTTACTGACGAAAATGCCTTCTGTCGAGACTTATCTCTGACGAAACAACCCTTTGACGAAACTGACTTCTGACGAGAAGGACCACTGACGAAACTAATTCTGACGAAAATGTCCTCTGACGAAACTAACCTCTGACGAGACTACCGGACACGTTCCAATTTGCCCTTACTTGAAATTTGTAAAGGAAAGAAAGATTGACAGTAATGAAGGAAAATTAATCTGAGACTCAAATAGGGATATTAATAAAGTACCGCAAATTCTAAGTTACAAAAATATAAATTAAAAAATCTTGTTTAATCATGATTATTTAGTCAAACTAAAAAGTTTGACTTTCAAAAATAGAATCGTACTGCAACTGACTTCCCCCAACAACATTAAATTTTTGCATATACTTAAAATTAATTGAAAAAATTACTATTATTTATTTTCACTTGGCAAAAATTTAATACAAATTTTTGACGAAATTAACGCAAAAGTACTTCTGATCTGAAGGCAAAAATGGAAAGAATCTGGATTCCTGTTTTCAAATTAACAACAAAGCCGTGCGGTAAAATTTTTCCGTGGGCCTGACAAATGCCAAACGTCAATTTTTCAAAATTTAAAAACCCCAGAACGCCAAAAATCAGTCAAAAGTGAACGCAAACGCCAAGAAACAATGAATGTCTTGTTTCTTGGCGTTTCAATGAATGTCTGAAGGCCAAACTCATGAATCCTCCTCTTTATAAATACAAGTACGGTACGAAATTCCGATCTCTAGGTTTAACCCAAATTATAATTTTACTTTCTTATTAAATTTCTGATACTCTTTTTGTATTTATAGATCGAAACAAAGCAAACTAATTTAATACATCCAGACATGAACAAACAATCAGTCAAGCATTTAAATGCTGACTTACAAAAATAAAAGTTTAAGGGACATTTAAATATTACAGAAAATTTATGGTTACCTTTACTTAAAGTTAATTAAATTAATTCATATGTTGCAGAAGTGCTATCGAGAAAAATTTTAGTTGGGTACAAAAGGTTTAGTCCTTATTCAAAATTTAGTTAAAATTTATTGAGTTAATTAATATTATGCAATTTTATTTTCAAAAAATTAAAAAATATTGTTAAATCATTAATAATTAGTCAAACTAAGAAGTCTGACTTACAAAAATAGAATCGTATTGCAACGGACTTTTTCACCAATATTAAATTTTTGCATACACTTGTACTTAAAATTAATTGAATAAATTAATATTATTTATTTTCACCTGGCAAAAAAATGAAATAATTTGAATTCTTGACGAAATTAACGCAAAAGTACTTCTGATCTGAAAGCAAAAATAGGAAGAATCCGGATTCTTGTGTTTCCAAAATTCTCAAAATTTTTGCCTGCACGCTAAACTACAAATTTTGGTGCCTTTATCACAATAATATTCTAAAATTCTCTTCTAAAGGGCAATTCTTTTCTAGAGAAAAGTGGAGAGCATCTGAACTAATTTTAGGTATATCGGAAAATTAAGTAATTTCGGATGATTAAGTGATTTCGGAGGATTAAGTGATTTCGGAGGCCCTGATATCACCTAATATCCCACTATATCTTCTTAAACACAAAATATCTGTGGATTTGATGGATAAAGTTTGCATACATTTAGGCCGCGAGCTAGACATTTACCTATCAAATGTTTTTAAATCTAATTTTTTTTAAATTAATTGAGTTGACTGAATATTTTATGAAACTTTTAAATCAACTTCCTCTCAGTTTGTACGATTTAACGAGAATTAATTTAAAGTATTAATCATTAATTAGTCGAGCATTGAAAGCTTGACTTGCAAAAATATACATCATCCTATTGTACAAAATTATACACGCTTAAAGTTTTGTAATTATTTTTACTTAAATCTAATTGGATTAATTAATATTAAGTAAGTTATTTAACAAAAAATAACAAGATATTTCAGACTTCCAACTCCCTATTAACTGTATAATTTGAAAAATAAAATTAAACAAATTAATTGATATTATGCAAATTTTAGCTTAAAAAATTAAAAATTTCAGCCTCCGACTCAATTAGTTATATACGATATAACGGAAGTGAGATTGAATTAAGGTACCAAACAGGAATTAGTCGAGAATAAAACTCGACTTGCAAAAATAAACTGGTCGGGTATTGTTACTGCACAAATCGGCTGTTATTAATCTATTTTTATATAAAATTTATTAAATTAATTAATATTGTGCAAAGCTAAATTATGAAAAATACGATATTATAAGTAAAGAGTGAATGCAGTGTGTCAATAAAGTATAAGACCACCTAAAATTTTCACCTTTTTCATCATCCACATAGCTCAGAACTCAAATTTTACACAAATGTGTTATAGCCATTCAACAAATAAAATTTCGTGAATTTTATTAAAAACATGTGGCAATCAAAGTATAAGACCACCCCCAGTTTTTCTGGCACGAAACAAAATGTAATTTTCCTTTATTTCTTGCTTCGCCACATTCAAATGCCAAAAAGTATACTGAAAATCTTTCGCTCAAAATCCTTTGTTAATACTCTATTTTTTTATCAATTATGAAAATTGTGCAGGGCAGTAAAAATTGCCACTGACACATTGACTGGACATATTTTTACAGACATTTTTGTGTCATTAAGGCAGAAAACGCCCCTTACCCATTGAAATCATTCATAAGGATGATGCAATATTTTTTGTAAAAACAGAAGGATTTATATTTGAATTATATAAATTAAATACTTTCCCAAATGGCTTGAAGCAAGGCAATGCCATTTAAGTTACCTTTGTCTATCCTTCTACGGTCACGCCTATACATATTTAAATAAAATATTCAGAATTTCATGTAACAAAAAAGCAAATCAAAAAATAAATTTAAAAAAATTATATTTCTTATTGATAAGTATTTTTTGGAATATTCTATCGACTTTATAAATGGTAATGATATTTTTTGTAAATTTCTAAATTTTTCGAATGTCGATTTTTATTTGAAAATTGTAAATAATATTGAAACAGATATATTTAATTCGGGAGACCTGGAATAAAATTTTTCAGTATGTTTATTTTTGATTTCAGTCGAATGCAACAACTCCTATATTTACACAGCGTCTTATAATTCTTGGCAATTCTGAAGTAGGATCTCCGGTCCATTTCGGCACTAGAGTGCAGCTTCGTGCTCATTTAAATATTTTTTGGTATAAGTATGGCAACATTTTTGAGGAAGTGGGGCGGTTCATTAGCATTAACAACAATGGACAGTTGTCCTTAGTAGTATTAAATGCAATACCTGCCGATTCTGGCTTATTTTGTGTAAGTTTATTTTTACGGCGGACAAAACACCGTCCCCTAGCTACTCATAGTCTAAACTCAATAAAAATTATTGCCCATTCGTAAAGGGTAAAGAAAACAAATATTAAAATAAAATTTTGAGGTTGTAATTCTTTTATTTTTCGTTTTTTAGGAAAAAGTACAAAACTGATGATTATAAAAGCGAAACAATGATAAATATTTCTATTTCTTTTTTAAAAGAATCTTTAGGAATTATTTTTTCACAATAATTATTAAACACTTATTTTCTTTAAAATATTAACATCCTTTGATACCTAAATAAATAATATTTAAAATTTAATATTAATTTTATTTAAAAATATTACCATTATCATATTTCCACATTTGTTGTCTATATAATTTTCCAGAATCACTAAGACATGATTCTTGATAAATTTGATAAATATTACATGTTTTAAACATTAAAGCCATTCCTTTTTCAGGATATTTTGGATCAATTAAATTTACTAATGTCCATTTATTATATGAAAGTTTATATTTATCCATTAATTCATAACTAAAAATAAATAATTAATTAATTTTAAATAATTAGAATAAAATTTACAATCTTTTAATTTTATTTGGTTCAATTTTAGCATCAAGAGGAGCAACATTGGCATCACCATATTCAGTAACAAATAAAGCTTGATTCTTTTTAGATGCATTTTTAAGTATTTCTTCTGTATAATCAAAAGGTAATGGTTCCCAAATTGGATACCAATGAAGTGTATACCTTAAATTTTTTTTAATTTTAAATTTATACTATTTAAAAATAGTTTAAAATATTTAAAAATAATAATTAAATATTATAATCCTAGGAATTTCTCTCCTTTTTATCGATTGAGACTAAACCCTAATATTTTAAAATTCCTTGAAATAATAAATTTTAAATTTAGAATTTATTATATTATAAACTATATTACATTATATTTTTTCCAGGAACACCATCATCAGGATCTTTAGTTACATCACTTGATCCAAGAATTGCAATAACTTCACTATCAATTTTACGTACTTCCTTTAATTTTTATTTAAGTTAATTAATTTTTAAAAATAATTATTAACATTAAGAACATCCATATGATATTTTTTAACAATATTCCAATGACATGAAGGTTCATTCCATAATTCTAATAGAATATTTGGTATTCCTTTATATTTTTTCATTATTGTTTTATAAAATTTAATTGCATTATTTGTGAATTTTTTAATATCATTATTATCCCAACAATTACATCCACCATGCCAATCAACAATTACATAAATACCATTATTTATTGCACCATCAATTAATTTATAAGCTAAATTTAATGTTACATTTGGATTTTTTTCAAAACCGTCAGGTGCAAATGGGGCACGTACCTTTATTTTTAAATTATATGTAAAATAAAAAAAAAATATTTTACAATATTTCCATTAAAAAAACATTTTATTGCTCTTACAGCAAAATCAGAATAAAAATCAGGAGAATAAATATCAATAAAAAGTGAAGGTCCTCTTAATTGAACTATTTTTCCATTTGATCCAATTAATTGTCCTTTTTTATTAACTGTTAGTTTACCATATGGAGGGGGATTAATTGCTATAATGATATTTAATAAATAAGAAGAAGGAAAAATTAATATAAAATAATTTTTAAACATTTTTTTAATAATTAAAATTAAATTGAAATTATTTAAAATTGAATTTTATTTATATATTAATTTTATTTTATATTTTGAGTATGTTGAGTAAATAATTTTAAAAAATTTTAGTTGCTTAATAAATATATTTTATTTAAAATTATATGTAAGTACCTTTTCTTTTTATAAAATTTTATTTGCTTTTTTAAATTTAAAAAATTATTTTAAAATACTTTTTATTTAAACAATTGAAATAAAATTTATTTATAAAAAGTACATTAAAAATTTCCAGACAAAAAATTAATACAATAAAGATTAATATCAAATTTTCAACAGTTAAAAAAATTTATCTTATTTAAGAAAAGTATAAAACTATTTATTCCATGCGGAAATTTCGGAGAATGTCACGGGGGAGGGCGAGAATTTTGTCGAATTTAGAGCTGTTCCGCAGGCCAACCAAGACACAGCGACTTATAATTCTTGGAATCCTGAAGTAGGATCTGCTGTCAATTATGACACTAGAGTGCAGCTTAGCGATCATTTAAATATTTTTGGTATAAGGATGGCAACATTTTGAAGAAAGGGGGCGTCTCATTATCAACAACAATGGACATTTGTCCTTGATAGATTTAATGCAGTACCTGCCGATTCTGGCTTATATTGTGTAAGTTTATTTTTACGGCGGACAAAACACCGTCCCCTAGCTACTCATAGTCTAAACACAATAAAAATTATTGCCCATTCGTAAAGAAAACAAATATTAAAATAAAATTTTGAGGTTATAAGTTAAAATACTAACAAAGACCCAATAGCCGAAGGGCCTAGATATCTACTATATTGAGATAATATAATATTTCGAATTAATCTGAAAAATTGGATGGCAATTATGCCTCTCACCCGTTTATTTAAACAATTTAATATTTTGTAGAAATTGAATATAAATAAATATAATGGCATATTATATCTCTTTAATTTAAAATATTTTTATTAATTTAAGCCTTATGCAGTCAATCAAATGGGATTTTCTGGCTTGGAGGCACATCTGAATCTTATACCTGCACCCTTTTGCAAAGCAACTACCAGCTGCTATTGCTGCTGCTATTGACGGGCAATAAATAACCTTGATATTGCAAATCCACAGCCGGATAATATTGTTGTTAATTATATACAACCACAATTTCATATGCTAGCTATCGAATGGTACCCGAAGAAGAATACTCGTCAGTTACAAACAAATGGTGATGTGCAGCATAATGTTTCTCTTGTGTGTTCCTCGTCTCAGAACGTTCCATTTGGTGAATATTTTTATATGAAATTATATTTGTTTTTTTATATTTATTTTCAATGAGAAATAGTTTGATCTACTTTTTGGGTTTCCGCCCACATTTTTTTCAAATGATCAAAGGAGACACCAGAATCGGTCCATGGGGCAACAAAACACGTAACCTCAATTTGGAAGAGAGAACAACACACAAAAAACTAATCTCAGCAGAACTATACTCCTTGAAATAGTTCTACGTGTTAAAGGGAACTAACAGAAAATTGGAAAAATTCCCAGTTTTGGAATTAAATCTCTTGTACTTACTTGCCTTTTAAATTTTTATTGATCTTTCATTTTATGTATTTTAGACATTTGAAATATATTTTATATTTTTAAGAATAAATATTTATCCAGCAAGTTTACATAAACTTTTTTTTTATTGAAAATCGTTTGATATTTTGGTGAGAAACTTTAAATATGCTTGTTTTGCCAAGATTAATAGTTTTTGGCAAAATGCCCACACTTTTGGCAAAATGTTCTTTGAAATCCGGAGCAGTTCAGCACCGACACTTTTTTTTCTCAAGCACCACCCGTACCACACGTTTTTTTCAAATTTTCTATTCACCGTTATTCATCGTTTTCAAATTTTTCAACATCATTTTATGCCCTTTTTTGCTTATTTTCTACGGCTTCCCCATATTCGTGGTTAAGCCAAAACGGCGCGCGGCCATAACGGCGCAAAGCTATAACTTGCTGGAAAATGTCTAGCCCTGATAAATTTTAATACCAAACTCCTCAGCTCGATGAGAGGAATCGTTTGATACTAAATTTGTATTGAATAGAAAATCTTGAAGCAAGTTATGGCTTTGCGCCGTTATGGCCGCGCGCCGTTTTGGGCGTGTCCCTTTTTACGGCTCCCTCATTTTTCGGCAATTGGGAAAAACCCCCCACATCATAAAGGCAAGTTAACTAATTTAGTCAATAAAAAAACATTCCCCGTTGTTGGAACAACCGAAAAAAAACAACCAATTAAAAAATTTTTTGCCGAAATGTGGTGGGTTTCCCGAAATATGCGACACAATTTTCAACATTTTCCTCCTTATTTTAGAAAATTCAAAATTAAATTTTTCAAACAAATGGCATTTTCAACAACCTCAAATATTCAATTAACTCAGGAACAAAAAGAAAGAATCAAAGCAAATCGAGAAGAAGCCTTAAAAAAGCGGGCGGCGGCTGAAGAAAAATTAAAATTGCAGCAACAACCCTCCAAACCTGTTGAAAAAGAAGAACAACAAAATTCTAATGAAATTATTAAAAATAAAAATTTAATTAGTGTTGATTTTAAATTTTATTTGTTGAGTTCGGAGAGATTTAAGGTTTGGAAAATTTTTTTATTTGAAAAAAATTTGCGGACAAAAAAATTTTTTGCGGACAAAAAAATTTTTGCGGACAATTTTCTTTTTGGGATTTTGTAAGGAGATATAGATTTATATGAATTATAGGATTTTTATAACTAAGGTCTGACCTCATCATAGGGTGCCCATCTCTCGGGCTTAAAATCATATAGTAGGGTATATCAGTTATGCCACTTTTTGGGGAAAAGTGTCAGTTTCGGTTTTCTAAATTTTCTTCGGATGGCGGTCTGTTTTTAAAGAGGTTCCTGGGTTTGAGTAAGCCGTGACATTCCCTAGGTTTGTATTAATTGTTGGATTTCGCTTTGTTCACTTCTAACAAAATTTCTTTATTTTTACGATAAAAAAATTTTTGCGGACAACTTTTGCGGACATTTTTAATTTTTCTTAAAAAAATTTTTATAATTTTTTCAGTTAGAATTCCACCCATTCGACAGTTCAATACCTCTAAAATTGAAAGAAATTCCTTCAAGAAATTATGACTCAGCAAACAAAATTTGGAATTTTTTGTTGAAAGATTATGAAGTGGTCAAAAATAAATTGAATCAATTACGTTCAAAAAATGTTTTGGCTAAATTTGATGAAATTCCTCTTGGAGTTAGAAAGGTTTTTTTAAATAATTTTGTTAATAGATTAAATTTTGGATTCTTTTTTTCGTTAGGGGAGTGTCCTCAATTTTTTTGCGGATTTTAATAATTTTTTGCGGACAAAGTTTTGCGGACATTTTTTTGTGTCCGCAACTTGCGGACTTTTCTTGCGGACTTTCCTCTTATTTAACAATTTGATTGGGATTTTAATTAGATTATTTTTCGATTATTCAAGATTTTTTTCAATTTTGCGGACAAAGTTTGCGGACATTTCTCCTTTTTAAAATTTATTTAAAATTTAAAATAAAAATATACGAATTAAGTTTAAGCTTTTTCTCGACAAAATATCGCCACGCAATTTGGAGCCTTCTTCAAGTGAATCTTCCTCTTCTTGTCTGGACAAAGCAGATCCCAAAATTGTTGAGACTCTTTTTCCTTTTCAACGTTCAGGCGTCAGGTTTTTTTATTTCTAAGTTTTTATTTTAATCCATTTCTGGGTAATTATCTCATTTTGGGATCAAATGTCATCTTTCTAATTTTTCCAATTTTTCTCTAAAATTTTTTTCTTAGTTTTGGAATTCGTCGAGGTGGTCGTTTGCTAATTGCTGATGAAATGGGTCTCGGCAAAACTGTTCAGGCATTGGCTATTGCTTCTGCTTTCAGGTTTTTTAAGTTAGGTACTTGGTTAGGGTCCAGGCTATATTTCAAAATTATAAAAATTTTTGAGGAGTCGACCATTATGAGATTTGACCCAAATGAGCATTTTTAGAAATTTTGAGAGTATGACCATTATAAGTAGGGTTGCCGTTTTCGAGACGGGCCGACGTTCGAGTCATTTTTTCGGACCTCATTTTTATCGGGCCGGCCCTTTTTTGGCTTCATTTTTTCGGGCCGGACAGGGCCGGTAACCCTAATTATAAGTCCTACCCATACGAATTTTAAAAACTTTAATTTTTAGGTCATTTTGACTTCTGACCCAAATGAGCATTTTTAAGAAAAATTTTTTTATTTTAGGGGTGAATGGCCTCTATTAATTATTTGCCCTTCTTCTGTCAAATATATGTGGTATAGACAAATTAAAAGGTTTTTGCCTTCTGCACGTCCCTGTTTGGTGGAAAAAGCAAAAGATGATCTTCCACGTTCTAGATGTACAAATCTTGTTATTGTGGGTATTTTTAAAGATTTTTCAGTTGGAATAAAGGGGGTATGATGGGGAGAGGATCTCCGTTCCAAACAGACATGGGCGAAACGTTTCGTTTCGTTTCGTTGTTTCGTTAGTTTCGTTATGTTTTTTACTGTTTCGTCTCGTTTCGTGACGAAACACTTTTTAATTTGTTTCGTTTCGTTTTGTTAACGAAACACCTGTGTTTCGTTAACGAAACATTACCTATTTTTTAGACCAAAACATTACTCAAAAACTGAAAAATTTTCCACTTTGGTAATGGAAATGCAAAAAATTTTTGCCTGCGGCGCCGAAATCTGAATTGTATGCGCCTACGGCGCATAATTTACTATAGTTTTTATTGAATTTCCCGTTTGATTTTATGTTTTTAATAGGTAATGTTTGAGTTCTTTGCTAGATTATGCATATAGAATGGGTCTATCTCTTAATGGGTCGGTCTATCTCTAATCTATTCCTTAAATAAACACATAAATCATCTCCTAATGCCAACCATGGGTAGGCGCAAGAGACAATCTCATAAAACGAAAAATGCAAAATATGCCAATGATCATGAATGTTGTTGATCAACATAAATCTGAGTACTTTCGTATTTGACTAGGACTTTCGTACTTGGTATCAATAGAAAAATTCCTAAAATGTTTCTTTTGACCACTAAAAAGTGAATTTTTTTCGCCTCAGCCTTCTGAAATTTTCAAAATTTTCGCCTGCGGCGCTGAAAAAAGAAATGCGGCTTCTTGGCCTTCCAAAATTTTCAAAATTTTCGTATGCGGCGCTGAAAATGTCTGAAATAGGAAAATTTATGGCTTCAAAGTCCTCTAAGATTCATTTTGCAAAATTAATGGTGATAATGGAATTAGGTGAAATTAAGGGAAATTTGCCGGTTGAACTGACTGGGCACACAACAAATGGCCAATGGGACCATAATTTGTGGCCCCACATAATTATATGATAACATATAGTCATTATTGGCCAATTAACATGCTTAAACTTGAATAGATAATAAAATAATTAGGTTTTTTTGAGATTTTTTGGAAATTAAAATGTTTCGTTTTGTTTCGTTTCGTTTCGTTAAATTCTGACTGTTTCGTTTTGTTAACGAAACGATTTTTAAAAATTTTTGTTTCGTTTCGTTTCGTCCGAAAAAAAATTTGAGTTTCGCCCATGTCTGGTTCCAAAGCTCCTGTCTTTTTTTAATTTTAAAAAAATTCCCTACTTGAAAGGGAAAAAAGTCCGCAAAAAATTTTAAAAATTCTAAGGGTAATAAGGGGATATTAACTATAACCTTCAGATAGATAACATAACCCTTCAGCTAGAATGAAAGGGGTATGATGGGGAGAGTATCTCTTTTCCAAATCTACTGTTTTTTTTAATTTTAAAAAAATCCTTACTTGAAAAATAAAAAATGTCCGCAAAATTTGTCCGCAAAAATTAAAGGAAATTTTAACGGGAATAAGGGACTGACTATGTATCAACTATTTTGAATGGGTAGGGACTGGGGGCTATTTTTAATGAGGAGCTATTTTTATTAGAAATTAAATTTTAAAAAATTCCCTACTTGAAAAATATCAAAAAATCCGCAAATTTTGTCCGCAAAAATTTAAAAAAAAATTTTTTTCCCCAAAATTTCTAGATAATGAGCTATACTTTAATGGAAATGCGTGCTGAAGAATTAAAAAGAGAAAATTTTTATGTGCTCATTTTTGACGAATGCCATATGCTTAAAGAATCCAAAACTAAGAGAACGAGTGTTGCTGATGCTTTAGCGGTAATGAATTTTTTTTTTTGAAATTTTTTTTCGTTTGAATATAAATCTGAAATTTGTTTCACACCCTAACTGGGCTTATTTTAAACCTAAAAATTGCCACAAAAAATTTCGGATTAAAAAAAATTTTTTTTAATTTTTTTAAAATTTTTCCGTTTGAATATGAGTTACAAAAAGTGTTTCACACACTTTTTGTACGCTTTTAACTTTAAAAATCCAAAATTTGCGGATAAAACTTGCGGACAAAAAATTGCAGATTTTAAATAAGAAGAATAAAAGAAAATTAACAAAAAATAAATTTTTAGCAATTTTTTTCAAAAATTTTTTTTGTTTCTATAAAGTCCGCAAGTTTTGTCCGCAAAAAATTTTTGTCCGCAAAAAATTTTTTGCCTAAAAATTTTTTGTCTAAAAAATTTTATTTCATTTCAGAAAAGAGCCAACAGAATAATTTTACTCAGTGGAACCCCAGCATTATCCCGCCCAGCAGAATTATTTTCACAAATAAAAATGATTGACCCAAAAATCTTCCCTTACTACAAACATTATGCTTTTCGTTATTGTGATGGAAAAATGGGGAGATTTGGTTTTGAGGCTAAAGGGCAATCTAATGCTGAAGAATTAAAAGCTGTTATGGAGAAAATTATGATTAGGTTTTTTTTTTAATTTTTGGGGAAAAATAAAAATTCAGTCACCTCTCTATTGTTCCTAATACCGATGTCACAGGTTATCCGAAACCCGAACTTTTCTCCGACTCGAAACTAGATTTAAGAAATTTTCCCTCTGAATCCCCCAAATGACTCGCCCTATTCGACCAAATTTTTTTCCCAAATTAATTTTTTAATAGGTCAAAAATCAATTTTCAAATAGAGGTGACAAAAGATTTCAATTGAAAACTTTCTGGGTTTTTTTTATCTGTTTAAGAATACTAGAGTAGGGAGTGTGTGTTTAAATTTATTTTTCTTCTAAAAGTCCGCAAAAATTTGTCCGCAAGTTTTTATATTTTTTCTTAAAAATTTCTTTGGGATCATTTGTCACCCTCAGCTTATGAATTAATTTTTTGCCTAGTAGGAACAGTTTTTAAATTATTTTCACAAAAAAAATTTCCTTAAATTCGGCATAAAGAAATTTTTTTAAACCAATTTTTTAGACGATTAAAGAAAGATGTTCTTGAAGATTTGCCTGAAAAACGCCGTGAAATTATTTTTTTGTCTGGAGATGCTATTGATAATAAAATGAAACAGTTACTTAAAGCTAGAGAAGAATTTGAGAGCGCTAATAAATTTTCTATAGTTTGTGAAATTTTTTTTTAAATATTAAGTAAAAGTATAAAAACGGCAAACTCCCCCCCCCCCAAAAAAAACTTTTTCGAAATCTGTCATATCCCTGGAATTTTAAACGGGTAAACCCTACAAATTTAAAAATCATAAAAGCCCCAAATTTTTTCGTAATGTCAAAAACATGAAAATTCTTTAAATCTGTCAAAATCTCATGGGTCTCAGAATGGTAAAACCTCCAAAAAAATTTTTTTAAATGTCAAAAATGTGAAAATCCTTTTAGTCTGTCACATTACCTAGATTTTTTTTTAATGTAAAATCCAAAAAAAATTTTTAAAGAGTCAAGCCTCATAAAAATTCAAAACGTCAAAGCCACAAATATTTCACAACCCCAAAAATTTCAAAAAAAAATTTTTTTCTTCAAAATTTTCAGGATAACAAAACCAAAAGACAAACATTTTTGGAATATTATGTATTAACTGGACAAGTCAAAAAGAAGCCTGTGGCTGAACATATAGTCGACACTTATTTTTATGATGGAGCGCCGCCAAAGAAAATTTTGGTTTTTGCACATCATTTGGAAATTTTGGATTTTATTAGTATTGAATTGGCTAAAGTGGTTGGGAATTTTTTTGAAAAATTTAAAAAAAATTTTGGGAAGGGGGGCTAAATTTTAATTAAAAAATTTTTTTGAAGAGGGGCAGGGAAAGGTAAATTCTAAAAAAATATTTTTGGGGAGGGGTAGAAACTTCCCAAAAAAATTTCGGGGAGGGGACAAGAAAAAAAAATTTAAGAAGGAAATTAAAAAAAAATTTTTTTTGAGAAAGAGGGGGGGAATTATTTTTAAAAAATTTTTAAGGAGAGGGAGAGGGTGTATTTTAAAAATTTTAAAAGTGAGAGTAAGTAGGTAAATTTAGAAAAATTATTTTTTAAGTGAAAGGGGACAGGTGATTAAATGTAAATATTTTTCGAGATGGGAGGGGGTGGAAATTTTTTTTTCGAGGGTAAGAGGAAATTTTCAAAAAAATTTTTCTTAAAATTTTTTAAGTCCCCTTTAACAAAAAATCCTTAACGTTATTTTTTTAAAATTTTCTAGGGAGCTCATTTTATCCGAATTGACGGGTCTACCCCAGCCAGGGACCGTTCTACTTATTGTGAACAATTTCAAACAGATAAAAGAATAAGAGCTGCTTTGTTAAGTATAACAGCTGCTGGGACTGGAATTACTTTGACGGCTGCTTCTGTTGTTATTTTTGCTGAACTTTATTGGAATCCTTCGGTTTTTTTCATTTTTATTAGAGACAGGAAGAGGATTTTGGGTTTCTGACAGGGATAGGTCCGTATTGAGAAAAAAGTTGAATAGGATTTTGGGTCGAAAAAATGCAAGTTTTGGGTAATCTGACTCGCTCTGGCTACAATCAAGATACTGATGAATCATGCTTCTGAAAATTACCCAGAAAGTAGGAATTGAACTTTCCCCTTACTTTTTTAAATTTTAGCCTTGAATTTTGCTTCTAAAATCGAAATCAAAAACCCTTGAAAATTGTTTTAATTGCGGACTTTTTAAAAAATTCGCGGACTTTTTTGTCCGTAAATTTCAAAAATTTGCGGACAATATTTGCAGACTTTTCCAATCCCCATTCTTTACATGCTAAAAGGGTAAGCCCCTCCCTCCAAATTATTTTTTCAGACAATCCTTTAAATTATCTTTTTTCAAGTTAATGATTCAAGCAGAGGACCGTGCCCACCGTGTAGGACAGCGTGACTCCGTACAAGTTCAATATTTAATTGCTAAAAATACAGCAGATGTGCTTCTTTGGGATTTGGTTGGGTCTAAATTACAAGTTTTGGGAATTGTTAATTTGGCTAATGAAACGTAAGGGGGTTTTTTTTGAAAATTTTTTTTCTGAAAATTTTTAAAAATTTCAAAAATTTTTTATTTTTTTCAAAAAGTCCGCAATTGTTTGTCCGCAACTTTTTGCCTTCTACTTCTATCTTTTTCTCATAAGAAAAAGAAGAAACTTTTTTCATAAATTTATTAGTTATTCTCCCAGAAATTGACACCTTTTTCCTCTTTCTTCATCTTTAGGAAGAAAAAGGTGGAAAGAGAAGGCAAAAAGTTGCGGTCAATATTTGCGGATTTTTTGAAAAAAATTGATTTTTTTTAAAGATATCTTGGCGCCGACAAAAGTTCAAAATTATGCACAAATAGTCAAAAGGTTACAGACTTTTTCGAAATTTTGAATAAATTGGATGATGATAAAAATGAGGGAGAAAAGGATCCGTTGGATTTGGATTTTGATGAAGAACCCGATCCGAAAAAATTTAAAACGTCATAGGTATATAGAGGTTTTTTAAATTATTTTCCTTTTGTCCGCAAGTTTTGTCCGCAAATTTTACAATTTATTTTTTTTTATTTATAAAAGAAATTTATTTGAACCTAGGTGACGGAAATTTTCGAAAATTCTAAATTTTCATTTGATTTTCATCTTCCGTTTAAAAATCTATTATTTTTTCCTTTCATTTCAGTTGAGAGCAAAATTATATTTCTTTTGTATCGTCTCTTCTATGGGGATGCACTAATCAGCTTGTTTTCTGTCTTTCATAAAAATAGAAAGACTTGCGGACAAAACTTGCGGACTTTATATGAAAATAGAAACCTTAATGTTTTTCATTTTTTTGCTATTTATTTCTCATTGTGCCTAAATCTTAAAGAGTTCTATTCGTTTAATTTTTTGTTTAATTTTTGGAATTTTGTGTTAATTGTAAACTTAAAAATTATTTTCAATTATTTATTTAAAAACAGGCATTTTTACATTAATTTTTATTAAATTAAATACATATTTTTATATACATATTTTCTGGATAATTACAAAGGCGTATTCATGGAATTTACTAGGTCGTTTCATAAAAAATGTCGCTTTTTGTTTATCAAGTGATAACACATAGCCAAGGTCGAGGCAGCTGTGGGGTAGTATAGTGCATCAAAAATGGGCTCAGATTTTTTAGAAAGGGGTATCCACAAACTCTTTTTTGTTTTAAAAATGTTGTAAGACTCGGGGCAATTAATTAGTTCAGGTAGATTTTTTACTTTACTGATTTTGATTGTTATTTATTGATTTTTATGTGAAAATTTATTTTTGATAAAAAGCGTCATTTTTTATGAAACGACCTAGTAAGCCCCTTTTACCAAAAATTATACAAAAATTTGGGCTCGAAACGCCAAAGTTTTTGCGCACACCCATACTACGACCTTTCTGAAATTCGACCCCTGAATACACCCCTTTTGAACACTTAATTAAAAATTGTTTAATCAACTTCCCTGCATTTCCCGTCTAATCGAGTCCAATTCATGTAAATCCAAAGAATCGTCAGGTATTGGCTGTATTTGGACTGCTGGGGAATTACGCACTAATTTAATGTTTTCAACAACCTCAGTTTTTATGGCAGACAAATACTAAAAAAAAATAAAATTATTTTGGAAGGCAAAAAAATTAAGGAAAAATTCTTTTAAAAAACAATTCCAAAAATAGAATTGGGGTTTGTCCTGAGAAACACTAGCAGCATCTCTTAACACGTGAAATAATGAAAGGAAGAAGGTGGAGGGTTTAGGATTTGTTAAAAGAGAAAAGGTGAATGCCCCGGTAGCTCATTTTGTCTGTTGATAGAGCAGCTATATACTCGCTCACTATAACTGGTACCGAGGTTATACGTACTACCCGAGTACGTTTACCTCACTATAACTGCTGAGCGAGTATAGCTAAAATGGCCAGTTATGGTGAACGAGAGCTCACCAGTAGCAAAAATTACTGGGAGAGTAAGGTTGATTACCGCCTGAGGCTACAAATTAACCTCCTTATTATTCTAGTTTCATGAATATGTGGAAAAAAGGATTTGGAATCATGATCCCCTTAGTTCAAAAATTAAATTGACTTATGAAAAACGATTCCCAGGAAGTTAAGATGAGCTCAAACCCTTTAAATGGTTCCTAGCCCGTTAACCCCCAAAATTTTTTTAAAAATTCTCCAAACCTCTTTACTATTCATATTTTCAATTCTTTTAGGCAAATCACTTCTCAAAGTAAATTCGGGCGCAAAATATTCCAAATATTCAGAATTGTCCGGAATTTCATTAGAAATCTCCCCATCCCTTCCAACCAAAATTGCCGTTTCAAAAGTCCAACATCTAGCCACGTTTCTTAAAGTATATCCACCTCCGCCAAGTACCAAAGTTGGCAAATTGAGACTTTTGACTAGTCTGACACATTCTCTTGAATATGGAAAAAAATTTTTTTTAATTTTTAAAAAAATTTTTTAAAATTTTTACGGAAATTTTTTTCAAAAAAAAAATTCCAAAAATTTTTTTAATTCCCAAAAATTAAAAAAATATTTTTTTTTACATTTTCCAAAAAATTTTGAGTTTTCAGAAAAAAATTTCCGAAAAATTTTCAAAAAAATTTTTCTGGTACTGAAAAAATTTTTAAAAAATACCCGTGTCCATCAAAACTTAAATTGAAGCATCCAAGTCTGTCTGACCCTAAAGAATCTGCCCCACATTGAAGAACGATAGCTGATGGATTATAATTTTCAACTACTGCTTGAATTACTGGTTTGAAAACTGAAATGGGGAAAAAATTTTTTCGAAAATTTAACAATATTGCCCCAAAACTGCTTCGAACCCGCGTCCCTTTATATTTTGTGAGACTAAAAAATATGTTTCTTTGGCCAAATTTTAAATTTTTCTAAAAAAGGGAGTTCTTAAATTGAGTCAAGAAAATTAATTAAATCACTGTTTTGACTCTTTAAAAACTGAAAAAAGTTACTGAAATATTTTTAATTTTGGGTTATCAAGTCTAGTAAGGTTTTTCGATTTTTTGGACTTTGTCCGCAAGTTTTGTCCGCAAATTTGAATTTTTTTGTAAATTTTCGATTGATGATTGATGATAGATTAACAGACTTTTTCCCTTCAATACCAAAAAAACTTCTAATTTTTAAAATTAACGAGTAACCTCCATGATAACTTTCATCATCTATTCCTTCACGCAACGGAACATTAACAGAAAAATAGCGTCCCTGCCCCATTCCAACGTCATACATATCTCCCGTTCCTAAAAATTTTTTTAATTTTTAAAAAAATTCAGAATAAAACCAGGAAAAAAATAATTTCCATAACGATGAAAAGAAACTGTCATCACTCTATCAGTAAAATTAAAAGCTTCCTGAACTCCATCCCCATGATGAATGTCTATATCAATGTAGAGAACTCTAAAAAATTAAAATTGAGGGTTAAACGGGTTTTTTGGATTTTTAATATTATTTTCCACCTTAAAAACAATTTGTAGTCATTTTTAAAATATTTTTGAACTAATCTAAACGATTTAAAAAATAATTTTCCCTGAGCGGTATCGAACCCTCGACCCCCCATATTTGATCTAAAAAATTAAATTGAGGGTTTATTAATCTTTTTTGGATTTTAAATTTTATTTTCAACTTAAAAACACTTTATAATCTTTTTATAATATTTTCGAACCTATTCGAACAATTTAAAAAATAATTTTCCCTGAGCGGCATCGAACCTTCGACCTCCCATATTTGACTCTAAATATTAAATTGAGGGTTTTTTTTTATTTTTTTGATTTTAAATTTTATTTTCAACTTAAAAACCCATTATAATATTTTTAAAATATTTTTGAACTAATTCGAACAATTTAAAAAATAATTTCCCCTGAGCGGTATCGAACCTTCGACCTCCCATATTTGATCTGAAAATTAATTTTTTTGGAAAGAAAAGGTATTTTTTATATCGAAAAAAATATTTAAGTTATTTAAGGCATCCATCCGGACATTTTTTAAAATTTTTTATGGAAACTTTTTTAATTTTATTCCAAAAAATTATTCTTGTAAATTGGCGTGAATCAAATATAAGGGGACCAAGGTTCGATGCAGCTCAGGGAAAATAATTTTATAAATAATCCGAATTAGTTCAGAAATATCGTAAAATGATTAAAAAGTGTTTTTAGAAGAAAAATAAAATTAAAAATAAATAAAGACCCCAAAAAATTCCAAAAATCCTCAATTTAATAGAAACATAAAGGGTCGTGGGTTCGATGCCGCTCATGGAAAAATATTTTTTAATTTATCCAAATTAACTCAACAACATTATACAAGGTCTTTAAAGCGTTTTAAACAAAAAATAAAATTTAAAAAAAACCTTGGAAAGTATTTAAGCAATTCAATAATTCCAATAACAATATCATTAACATAGCAAAAGCCAGAAGCTTCAGACTTCTTTGCGTGATGTAAGCCGCCACTCCAATTTATTGCAATATCTGATTGGCCGTGATTTAGCCTTATTGCGCCTTCTAAAAATATTTTTTTAATTAAAATTCATTTGAAAATTTGAAAATAACCAAGTGTTCCACCAGTATATAATGCACAAAAATCGAAAATGCCGTCAAATACAGGGCTGAAAATTTTTTTATTATTTAATTAGAAATTAAAGGAAAAAATGCTTTAATTTGTTAGAAATTGTTTATAAATCCTTCAAAAATATTTTCGAGGTATTTGAGGAAGTTTAAAGCATTTTAGTCTTAAGCACAATCAAATATAGGGGGTCGTGGGTTCGATACCGCTCGGGGAAAATTATTTTATAAATAATCCGAATCAGTTCAGAAATATCGTCAAAAGGACTAAAAAGTGTTTTTAGAAGAAAAATAACATTAAAATTAAGTAAAGAGCCCAAAAAAATCCTCAATTAAAAAATATAGGGGGTCGTGGGTTCGATGCCGCTCGGGGAAAGGATTTTTTTGAATTGTCCAGATTACTTTAAAAATATGTTGAAAGGTAAAATAAAATTAGAAACAATTTAATATCCTCAAAACCCCCAAAAATGGAAAAACTTCAATTAAATAAAATTCATACCAATCCTCCCCAATATTAAATTTGTGAAACAACGACTCATAATGAAGAGCATTAGAAGGGCATATTCTTTTTAAAAATTGGATATATCTTTAAAAATACTGTTAAACTTTGAAAAATTCAAAAAATACTCTGGAGAATGAAATCTAGCCAAATCATGATGTGTCGCCCTAGGAGGAAGCAAACAAGTCATGTGACGATGCAACTCATAATTGACCACTAAACTATGTGTAGCAGCTAAAATTTAAAAAATTTAAAAATGATTAGAAACAGATAGAAAGTCTAAAATTTTGGTTAAAAATATTTTTTATTCATTTTGAGAACTTGAAGATATTTAAAGAAGTTCCAAAACCTATTAGTCTTATGAACAATCCAAATATAGGGGGTCGAAGGTTCGATACCGCTCAGGGAAAAATATTTTAAAATCACCCGCATTAGCTCAAAAATATTGTGAAGTTATTAAAAAGGTTATTCAAATAACGAAAAATATTTTGCGGATAAAATTTGCGGACTTTTCAGATTTGCGGACAATTTTGTTTACGGACTGTACTTGCGGACAATTTTAAAAAAATTTGCGGACATTTTCCAAATTTGCGGACATTTTTTGCGGACTGAATTTCCGACAATTTTAAATACCCATTCAAAAAATTTAAAAAAACAATTATATAAAAACCTAATCTCGCAGGTTTCATCGGATGTTGAGCTCCATAATGAAAATTGCCCAAATCAGGATGGTGGTAGTAACAAATGGTGTGTTTGTTGGCCATTTAATTGTTTAGAAAGAATATATTTTGCCTTGAATTCTTAATAAAAAAATAAGAAAGAAAAATTTTTGCGGACAAAACTTGCGGACATTTTCCGATTTACGAATATTTCTCTATTAAAAAATCTGCAAACCTGGAAAATGTCCGCAATTTTAATCCGCAAAAATTTTAATCAAATAATTAAACGTAAAATCATTAAAACTAAGTAGAAAAATATTGAAAACATATTTTACTAAAATAATTCAAATAAAAAATAGAACTTAATTAATTATTTTATTCCTTTAAAAATTAAAATAAAATTTAATATGCACAAAAATTTCGCACTTTTCGTATTTAGATAGCACCACAATTTTAAAATTTTTTTTGAAAAATATTTAAATAAGTAAACCAAAACAAAAAAAAACTAAGGAAATTTTTAGCGAGGTTTTGTAAGAGACAAAAATGGCCAAAATTTAAAAAATTAAACAAAAAAATTTTGCGGACAAAACTTGCGGACAAATACAAGAGAATGAGGGTTCGATACCGCTCACAAAGGAAAGGCTGTCAGGCGTCCGTGAAACTTTGAGATGCAATTTGGCAGACAGATAGAACATACCCTACTTTAGTGCGGGGTACCATGGACCGAGTTATAAGCCCCAAAAGTTTTAGGATCTCCCTCATGTCAGGGGAAAACTAATTTTTAAATCATCCAGATTTCTACCAAAAAATCAAAAACACCCTCAGAAGACTCAATAAATTAAAATAAAAATATTCTAGAACGAAAAATAGCCAAAACATAGATTAATTAAATTTTCTTAATTCAGGTTTAACGCCCTTTATTTAAAAAAAATTTTAAATTTGGCCATTCAAGTCAATGAGCAAAAAATATTTTTTATTAAAATAAGAGACAAATTATGCATTTAAAATAAAAATTAACCTTCCCTTTCAATGTTTACTACCCAAATCACCATTTAAACGTCCATTGTGTTGATGAAAGCCTCCACTAGTTTGATAACCTCCATTAACGGTAGGAGAGCCTGTACCAGCGCTACTTGAAAGAATTGCAGATTCGATCGCCTAAAATTAAAACAGGTAAAATTAAAACTTTGAAAGGGTTTTATACTCAAAATTCAATAAAAGACGTTTGAAAATTTTTTTAGTTTCCCAAAATACAATAAAAATTCTTGGCCACAGTGAATATAAGGGGATGAGGGGGGTCGTGGGTTCGATGCCGCTCGAGGAAAATTAATTTTTAAACATTTCAAATTTGTTCAGAAACATAAAAAAACGACAAAAAATTGTCCATAGGTAAAAATAATTATTTAAAAATGATGTTAACCCAATAAAAATTGTGTTGGTAGAAGCTTCAACTAGTATAGGGGGTCGTGGGTTCGAACCCGCTCGAGGAAAATTATTTTTAAAATCGTCCAGAATAACTCAAAAACATTAAAAAAAAACTAAAACGTGTTCCCAAGGCAAAAATAAATTTTTAAATGCTAAAAAATAAAAACAACCTCAATTTTAACCAACATATTCTCTATAAGTCGCTGACTTTCGTTTCTATCCATCTGCCCATTTTCACTTCCTGAAGCTGTTGGAGCTGTTAAAGTGTTCATTTCAGACTCATCCATAACCATTTTATCCGATTCCGTAGCCATTCCAACTTCAAACATTGCACAGCGTTCCAAACATTTTTCGTAACGATCCCCCAAGTCGACGAGTTGTTGGGCATGGATTCTAAAAGAAAATTGGAAATTAATTTGAAATAGATAATGTCAAACTCAAACTTTTAGTGAATTTTTGGAAAGGACGACACCTTTTATTTATCATAAAATACCTAAAAATTTGGTACTGGTCTAGAGTATAAGTTCAATATAGTCTTACAAATCCAATGGAGCTCTATGAGTCCAATAAAATGTATTACCCAGCCAAATCCGGCCTCACTAAAGATCATGACCCTTAAAGGCACAAAAAATAGATCTGAAGTTCACAACAAAGTTAGGGCGGGTTACCCAAAAAATTTCGACCCGAAATTCAGTCCGATGAAAACATTGAAAAAACCACGCCGAAACACGGCTTCCTCCTCAACTCGAGGAATAAGCCGTGTTTCGGGATGGTTCGAAGAGCCGATCCATCTCTGAATCACAAACCTCTATTAAACTAATGAATTTTCTTTAAACTCATAACTTAAACCTGAACAAAAATTTTTTTAAAAAAACCTTTCACGCCGCTCCAAATCATCATTCGTCTGTTCCACAGACCGCAGTTTTTGACGCAATTCAATACACTGCTGTTCGGCACTCGAAATTCTACTTTTAAAGTGTTCTTCTGATTTGAGATGGTCTTGAAGTTGTTGTTGAATTCTGGTCTTTAATTTAAAAAAATGATTAAAAATGGAAAAAAAGCTAAAAACCGTCTAAAAACGGAAATTTTAAAATCTTCCGAAAAAAATTGAAAACCGCCCAAAAAGTGTCAATAAATACTAGAGTCAACACCCGGCAAAGGCGTAGCTAAAGGGTAGATTTCAGGGGTTTTTTCTCAAATTTTTCCCTTTTCGTAGGTGGGGGGGCTTTAGCCAAAGAAGCCCCTGGCTACGCCCTTGGGGTCCAATAGCCTGAATATTTTTAAAAAAAATATTTCAGCACGGCAAACCCCGAAACAGGTCAGTTCGAAAAAAACCCTGGCACCGAGCTTGCTATTTTGAAAATGTCGAAAATAAATCCAAAAATTTCAGGAATCGGATAGCCAAACACAGACAGAACCACGTATAAATTTAAAAAATTTAACGACTTCTCAATTCTTCCCAATTTTTGTGAAAACCAAGTTTTAGTCATTTTGATTTATTTAATAGTCATAGTCAAAAAAGAAAAATTGAGCAGAAACGTAAAAACAAAATCCCAAATTACTATCTCACCTATTCCCCAAAACGCCCAAAAATTAAATTAAAAAAAAACCTTCAAATCCCCAAGTTCAGAATTTAGCCTTCTTCTAGCCCCTTCAAGTTCATTCATTTTTGAATCTCTCTGTTTCAATTCAATATCCATTTCATTTTCCAATTCTTTGCTGTATTGCTGGAATTCTTTAAATTGTTCTCGTTCACGTTCATACCTTTGGGGAAGAAAAATAATTTTTAAATCAATTTTAGGGAAGGATGACATTTGATCCCACCAATGAAATTTTGGTATTTGACTTAAAAAAGGGTCAAAAGGGAATGTTAAATTAGTAAATCGAACCAATGAAACCCCAAAAAACCCAAATTATCGGAAAAAAATTTTTCTGGAAAATTTTAAAATTTTTCAAAAATTTTGAAAATTTTCGAAAATTTTTCGAAAATTTTGAAAATTTTCGAAAATTTTTCGAAAATTTTGAAAATTTTCGAAATTTCAAACAAAAAAATTTTTCAAAAAAATTTTTCAACGCCAGGGCTGAACAAAAAAAATAAACCTTACATGGAACGATAATAATCCAATTCCTTTCTCAAAATTACCACATCAGCTGCTGCAGTACACGTACAAGGTGCATACCCATTTGTAGTTGAATGGCCTTCCATTTTTCTTTAAATTAAAGAAATTTTCTAAAAAAAGATAAATATTTAAGACGTCGACAAGAAAATTTAACGAATTTTATTAAGAAATTAGCCGAAATTTTCTAAAAAAATCATTTTGCCAAAATTGTGTGCACTTCGCCAAATGGTTTAATTTGGGCGGTAAAAGCCATTTTCAGTATTGCTTCCTCAGTCAACGCTATATTTTGGGCCATAACTTTCTTCATTCGTAACCGATTTAAATAATTATTATATCATTCGAAAGCTCTGAATGTGGGGATTATTTTAGCTAACAGGATTGAGTTGGTCAGATCATTCTGCAAAAAGTTACGGCCAAATAAAGTCCAAAAATCACGATTGCGTGCACTTATTCGACTGTAACTTTTTGTAGAATATCCAGACCAATTTCATCATTTTAGATAAAATTATCCGCACATCCAGAGCTTCCGTTTGATATAATGATTATTTTAATCGGTTAAGAAGGGAAAAGTTATGGTCCAAACTACGGCCTGGAGACTGAAACGGCAATACTGAAACGATCTTTTTCGTAAATTATTTACTGTAACCTATTTGAATTTTAATCATCAATACTTTTCAGTGTAAGATGCTTGGCTCGAATTATCGATTTATTCCTTCCTTGTTTAGCCTTTTTCATAAAATACCTATTTTTACTAGAGGTGGGTCGGAACAGTCAGAGGTGTCGGAAATCGGAACTGGCTCAAAAGTCTGAAATTGGAAGTCAAAATTTTTTTTGGAAATCGGAAATTGTAAGGAAAAAAACGCCGGAGTCGGAAATCGGAATTCCGACCCATCTCTGATTTTTACCAATAAATACAGCAAGTTTTTTATTTAGTCATACAATACTTTTTATTATCCCGCAGCATTCCGTTATGCTTTTACTCCCTAATTTAATTCTCTATTTGTAAAATTAACTCGGATGAACAGATATATCATTTAATCATTTTACACTTTATTTTCAGCTTATTTTACTTAATATAAAAAATTCTATTTATTTTCAATAATGGAAAAGTTACCAAAACATGTTCTTGATTGGGCTATTGAACGCCATTTTTATCAAAATAAAAATGATAAAAATTTTAATCTAAAGAAAGCAATTATTTATGGATTTTGGAGTGGGTTGGCTGTCCACGCTGATTTATTTCTTAAACCTGTGGTGGAGAAACTTATTACGGATTTAAAAAATTTTGCTAAATTAGAAAAGGAAGGATTGCCTAATTTGAAGGCATCATTGAAGGTTTTTAGAAAAAATTCAAATATAGGGATGTCGGTTCTGGTTCTTGAAAAATCTTTTGATGTCAGAGACCAAACCGAAAATTTATAGGGAAGAGGAACAGAGAATTTATAGAAGAAAGTGCCTCAGACAAGAACTTTTAGTAACTCAAGCAAAATTTTTTGTATTTCAAAGGTACCGATGGTACCTGAAATTCTCCTTTTTTGACTAACCGAAGCGACAACCCTA